CAAATTTACTAATACTAAGTAAAAATTACTAATAATAATTACTATTATAAAATTTTGCCCCTACTCGCTATACCACGAGTAGGGGCATGTCTATTAAACAGTGAGCAGCCTGTGGCTGCTCAGTTAAAAACATTAAAAAAAACCAGGTCCCCACCCGTGACCACTAGTCACCTGGGGGGTTACATTTTTATTTAGGGCCCCCACCTGCCACTCAGGGGTGGGGGCCAGGGGGAGGACAATAGGTCCCCCCCCCTTATTCTAATTTAGGGCCTCCACCCACCGCTCAGGGGTGGGGGCCAGGGGAGAGGACAATAGGGCCCCCTCTTATTGGTATTTAGGGCCCCCACCCACCGCTCAGGGGTGCGTGCCAGGGGGGAGGACAATAGGTCCCCCCCCTTATTCTAATTTAGGGCCTCCACCCACCGCTCAGGGGTGGGGGTCAGGGGGCCCCACCCACCGTTCAGGGGTGGGCGCCAGGGGGGAGGACAATAGGTGCCCCCCCTTGGTATCAACCCCAGCCCCCCTTGGTATTTAGGGCCCTCACCCACCACTCAGTTGTGGGGGCCCGTGGGGAGGATAATAGGTCCCCCTTATTCTAACATAGGGCCCCCACCTGCCGCTCAGGGGTAGGGGCCGGGGGGAGGACAATAGGTCACCCCCCATTATTTTACTTTAGGGCCCCCACCAGACGCTCAGGGGTGGGGGCTGAGGGGGGAGGACAATAGGTCCTCCCTCCCTTATTTTACTTTATGGCCCCCATCCGCCGTTCAGGGGTGGGGGCCGGGGGGGGGAGAAACGTTTATTTTTCCACAGGCTGCTCACTGTTTAATAGACATGCCCCTAATCTTTACTTAGTGTTAGTAAATGTGGCTGAAAGACCAATGTAAGTCTTTCAGCCTTTTAGTAGATAGCTCCAGGGCCGCAATCAGGGGGTGACAACCATAATGGTTGTCACGGGCCCGGCGGTCCTGGGGGGCCTGGACTGCTTTGGCAGTCCAGGGCCCCACAATTACTCTTGGCACCTATATATAGCGATGATCGCTATATATCGGTGCAGCCGCGGGCCCCCCGGCTCCCTATACTTGCAGAGGGGGCCCAGCGGACTGCAGCTGTACTTTACAGCATTTCCCTCGCTCTAACTCCCGCAAAACGGGTTACCATGGCAACGCTCTGCGCGGCGCGCACAACCCATTTCGCGGAAGTTAGAGCGAGGGAAATGCTGTAAAGTACAGCTGCAGTCCGCTGGACCCCCTCTGCAAGTTTAGGGAGCCGGGGGGCCCCACAATGACACCTGACCACCAGAGATCATGGAATCTCCCCCCTCCCTGGACCAGGTAAGAAACAGGGAGGGGGGAATAACAGTTACGTTTACATACATACACTACTGCATTCACTACATTAACACACACACTGCATTCACTACACTATCACACACACTGCATCCACAACACTAAGACACACACTGCATCCACTACATTAACACACACACACTGCATTCACTACACTAACACACACACTGCATCCACAACACTAACACACACGCTGCATTCACTACATTAACACACACACTGCATTCACTACACTAGCACACACACTGCATCCACTACATTAACACACACACTGCATTCACTACACTGACACACACTGCCTCCACAACACTAACACACACACTGCATCCACTACATTAACACACACACTGCATTCACTACACTAACACACACACACTGCATCCACTACATTAACACACACACTGCATTCATTACACTAACACACACACTGCATCCACTACATTAACACACACCATGCGTCCACTACATTAACACACACACTGCATTCACTACACTGACACACACACTGCATCCACTACACTAACATACACACTGCATCCACACCACTAACACACACACTACATTCACTACACTAACACACACTGAATTCACTGCACTAACACACACACTGCATCCACAACACTGACACACACACTGTATTCACTGCACTAACACACACACTGCATTCATTACACTGACACACACTCTGCATTCACTACACTGACACACACACTGCATCCACTACACTAACACATACTACATCCAAAACACTAACACACACACTGCATCCACAACAATAACACACGCTCTGCATTCATTACACTAACACACACACTGTATTCATTACACTGACACACACACTGCCTCCACTACACTGACACACACACTGCATCCACTACACTGACACACATTCTGCATTCATTACACTAACACACACTCTGCATTCACTACACTGACACACACTCTGCATTTATTACACTGACACACACTCTGCATTCACTACACTGACACACACACTGCATTCATTACACTAACACACACAATGCATTCATTGCGGGGGGGGGAGGACAGCGGGTGGGAGGGACCTTGTGCTTTGTCAGGGGCCCCAAAATTTCTGGTGGCGGCCCTGGATAGCTCCCTAATACCGTGGGAATTAGGGCGTTATCTACTTATTCATTCCTGTCATTCCATTGACAGCCTAAGTAACTTACATTTTATATGTGTGTGTTACTTGATTGTTGTAAGTGTTGCAAATGCTTACAGCTGAATCCTGGATATGTTTGTATAATTTTTATTTAAACTTGTATACAGTGTAACATTCTTCATTCTTCCACTTGGTAGGTATATTAGTACTTAGGCAATACTGTGCTTCGGAACTACGACACTTTGGAACTTCGGCAAGTTTGGAACTTCAACATTTCGGAACGTCGCACTTCGGAACTTCGGAAATTCTGCAATTTCGGAACTTTGGCACTTTGGCAATTTGGCACTTCGGCAATTGCCCGAAATTCGTCCGAATTGACATTCGGAATGAAACGTGTTATGTGCCCTTTGAGCCAAGCAAAGAGAATTACCCCCATCATGGCATACCATTTCAAAAAGTAGATAAACCAGGGAATTCAAAATGTTGTATTTTCAGTCTTTTTTAGTAGCCACTTAAAAAACCAAGCCAAATGTAGCTTTCATATTAGTTTTTTTGCATTTTTTACACAAAAACTGCACTTTCACTGGTGACATCATCGCCATGATCCATTTGACTGTTTTAAAACACTCATATTTGTGTTCAGCAAAGTCTCCCGAGTAAAACAGTAACCCCGTTTCCTCTCCCCCTTGTACAGATTTTATGGTGCCTTGGAAAGTTGAAGGAATAAATATAAGGCTTGCAAATTAAATTCTCTGGACTTTCTGCCTTTGTTGTCAGGCAGGTCCCTCAAATTGTAATTAATAAAAACCCTTAATTATGTATAAAATGATTACATAAATATACATGTAAAATAAATTATATATATATATATATATATATAAAATTAAAGTCAATGTGTAAATGTATGTAATTATGAATCTATATATACATATAATACATAATTTCATATATATATATATATATATATATAATTCTATTCTAAGTGTATTTTGATATAATTATATATTAATATCAAAATACAGTTAGAATGAAATTACATATATATATATATATATATATATATATTTTTTTTTTTTTATTTATTATATTTATTTCATATATCAGCTGAGTTATCACATATATCAGCTGAGTTATCATGAGTTGACACAATATAGAGTAGAGATTGTAGCCTTATTAGTCCAGAGATGCAGATGTAATATAACAAATATCCGTTATTTTACATATATACACTCTCACATGGAATAGAGCCGAATATGGACAGACTCGAATCAATTACCCTTTTCTGTCTTTTTCCAGATGTACCCAAAATAAAGAACAAAGGGACAAAAGCAATAGCTTCTAATGCAGTACAGTATAACAAGAAATCGATAGCATATGCAAGTGTATAACCTGTTAACCTTATTTAGAGTCTATGTAGCCTGGCTCTAGGTATATTAGCATTTGTGTCTCTGTAGGGAGACACTACCCTGCTTGCAGTATATAAGCAAATATGAAATGGATGTTAACCAGATTTGGATATGGATAAGCAACAAATATTTAATAAGATATATTAAAAAGGTATATTAATAAACATAAATAAATATTTATATTTTTACACCAATATTTTTTTCTCCTGGAGTATCTGGACTCTGGCAGTGATTTGAAGATGCTTTATACAGAGTTTGTTTGGATTCAGATTTTTACATAGCTGCTAGCTATGCATTACAAATTTCAATTAAATATCCCACATTTTTCTTTTTTTCTGGTAAATAAAATGGTAGAGAATAGTCTAATGATTGTCATGTTTGTTACAATTCACAACAAGCAATAGTGATTATAGTTCTTAAAGTGTCCACTTTAAGTTGTTTATTGTTATGTTTTGACATAGTATCATGTTGGAGTGTATTCAGTGCACCGTGAATTGTTGTGCTTTGAAATCAGAATTGCTAAACATAAGCTTTAACTATAGCTACATCAAAGATTTTTCTAGATGAGCACATTTTGCTTAAATATTGCAACTTGGATTTCACTGCACTTGTTAAGTGAATAAATACTTTGTGTATTGCATTACATTTTACGTCTATTTCATGTAGGTAAAATCAATGCAAGTTCAGACATTCCTTCATTAAGCCATACACAAACATGCACCCTCAGGTACCTTCAGGCAATGTGACTTGGGAATTAATTTAAAGAGTTTCTGTCACCGTGTAGGGCCTCTGCATAATTTGCAAAGAACCCCGATGGTAATATCGAACATGTTGACATGTATCAATTAATTGTAGGCCCTATGACTCAACCTAAACTCTGCAAAATCCACCATGCATTTGACTTTTCTCTACTCAATATATGGATGGTTAATATTATTACACCATCCCCCCTCTAGTTAGGGAAGCAGTGCTGTTAGTTAGCTTGCATGTTTCACAACTCTCTTAAAATGTTGTCACTTTACATCCAGATATTTCCTGCTGGCAGACCTCAAACTTATCTTCCCCATTGTCAACTTCCTCTTAAAGAACTGTAGCACCCTTCTTAACCAGAGGCCTTTCTGCTCCAAGGACACTTGTGTCCTGCACAGCAATGAGGAGATGCTTTACGTGTACCTGAGACCTGCATTTCCTATGTTTGAACTCTAATTTCTGCTCTCCCAGCTGGCTTACTCTTTTTCTTTTTTTTTTTTTACTATCTGGTCTATTGTTATCTATACTCTTTGGCAATTGCTGTTTCCTTTACATGGTTCACATACTGTATCTAATCCTCCCCCTTTTGTGTGGTCCTCCTTATCGTTCTAAAATTGTATATATGTATCTATAGTCACCTTCTTTTCTCCAGAGGACACATTGTCACCACGTTCAAGTATTTGTTGGACCGGCCAGCCATCCAGGTGAGTAAATGTACCAATTCTTAAGTGAGATAATTGAACCCGTTTTTTTTATCCAACAGGGTTATTTACTAAACAGAGAATTGAAAGTAAATTTCACGTTTAAGGACAAAGCAGCCAAATTAGAAAAATCCTCTAAGTCAGCTATGCATCCCTTTCAGCTATTTATGCTTTCATTTAAAATCCCACTTTACTTTGCATTCTGAATTTAATGAATAACTCTGCAAATGTTCTAAAAAGCCATTTGGACAGTGCATGCAACCACAAATAGTATTACTAAGTCCGGGGAGGTTCAACTTATATCTCCAAAAAAGATCTGTGTAATTAGCATTAACAGTTGTGTTATACAATGCCCCTTCCACAAATTTATTTATTTATAAAATGTTTTACCAGGATGGATACATTGAGATTTCTCTCGTTTTCAAGTATGTCCTGGGTCCACAAAACATTGCATTGTTACAATAGGATACAATATTAAAAAAAAATACAATATACAAACAATACACACACACACATATATGTATATATATATATATATATATATATATATATATATTTATGTATGTGTGTTCATATGTGTGTATGTGTATATGTGTGTATGTGTATGTATACACATACATACACACATACATAAATTTAACATATAACAGGTGATAAATATGCTTTCCATATGAAAAAAGGTGTATATCCCAACTTTAATATAATCACAACCATATAATAATGTATATGGCTGTGAGTTAGAAGCTATTGTTACCTGAGAATTGTATTGAATATAAATATATACAGGGTTATTACTGAAATTAGAATTGTTGTGAATTTAAAGTGAAATCAATGTGAATTTCAAAGACAAAACAGCTGAAGTGACTCTTTCCAATTCAGATATATTTGCCATAAATTTAAAATCCACATTGAATTCACTTCTAATTTCTAACAATTTTCACCTCAGTAAACGTCCATGATAATGTTTCTAATGATTTACTAATGTATATATTTTTATGTTTTCTATTATAGTTTGTGTTTTATTCAATATTTTTTTTAAAATGATTGTTAGTTGCTATTATAGCTAATTAAAACATTCATAGTTAGGCATCTCTAAACATTAGAACACTGAGGGCCATCTGTCACCTGCCCCACCCTGCCACGATAAGAGTACTTCCTCTTTGTAAACAGTGCTTTCAAAATAAAACCTTTTTCTTTAGAAATGACTTTGATGATGCTGCAAATATAAGGGTTATTCACTAAAGTGAGTTTTGCCGGGAATTCATAGTAATCTCAAAGTAAATTTCAAATTTAAATCCCAAATAGCCAAACTAAAATCAGAACTGACTTGGAGAAATTTTCTAAACTAGCTTCTTTTGCATAAATTTTGAAATTCACTGTGAATTCTGTCAATTCTCACTTCAGTTAATAATCCTATGGAAGTGTAGTTATTGGGGAGATAGTTCTGTTCTTTTCTATTTTTGCAAAAGGCATGCATCTTCCAGTAATGGTAGGAAAAGATAGGTGATGGTAGCATTTTAAATTTGCATATTTTTATGGTACATATGCCTCTCATAGCAGAGCCTATTAATTTTCTTAATTATGCAAATATTATACTTGCAAATTAACTAAACAATCCTGAGTTGCAATTTTACATTGTATATAGTATTCATGTTATACTTACAGAGCTATCCCCCCGAAATATAATGGGATATTTTATTGATGGCTCCACATATAGAAAGGTTCTCCAGAACTACTACCTCTATATAATTCTCAATATTCTCAATGGCACCATTTTCCATTAATGGTGCAAAACGTTTGACAACAATTTGCCATCTTACCTGGGTCTCTGCCAGGCTCCAAGGCTCCTTGCTGCTCTGGTGGCAACATCTGGCTTCTGCAGAAGCCAAAAGTCAATTCAATCTGCCATTCATTGTCTGAGAGCATCGTATGACAGCTCTCAGCCAAATAATAAATTTCTGTCCATAGCAATATGCACAGAATTGACATTAGACAAACTGAAACTCTTGTTCTGGGCTGGGTAATTATGCCCCAATGATGCTTCCAAAGGTGGACTTACACCTCTGGCAGCAAAGAGGTTAAACTCCATATGTGCAGTGCTTCAAATAAAAAAAAGTGGCACACATAGACTCCAGACACCATGACCACTTCAAATCATTGAAATGGTCATGTGCTTGAAATAATCTTTTCAGAATTAAGCATGCATTTGCAGTTTGTAAATGATTCATTTAGTACATTCTTTATCCTCAGAGCCCTCAGTCCCTCCTTCACCCGCAATGGCTGCCAAATTGTAGCTATGAAGTTTGACATAGAAAAATTGTTACAGAGAAGGGATGCCATTCAATGTCCCTCTGCAATTTTTTTCCTGCTTTGTGAAAAACTAGAGCAAATGGGGAGATTTCATGGGCAACATTTAGTTTAGAAAGTCAACCAGGAATATTCACGTTGGGAAATAAGGGGGTTAAATACGAATTGTGAAGTATTGTCTGAAACTGAAAAATAGGTTATTAATAACAGGGGGAAAAAACAATATTACAAACTCTCTAAAGTAAGAATTAATCAATTAAAATACTCAGATTTTAAAATTCCATTTGAGCAATGTCTTTTCTATTATTTCTTATTTTCATGTATACACTTTGCTTGCTGTTTGGATAGCAATGTGCAGATTAGCACCAATAATTAACTATATTATGGGATTATGTAGAAAAGTGTATGTAGTTTTTCTGGCACTTTTTCTGGTGCATATTTGTTCACTTATTTGCACCAAGATATTTCTCACTGTGATTCTTCCATCGTTTTATTTTTCTATTCCATTTTGTTTCTTTTTCTTGATTTACACACTTTTACTTCCAATGTATAAAAAAGAAGTGCAAAAGTGCACCTTTTCATAAAGACAATTTTTCAGCCACTGCCACTATCTTCCTTTTTTATTAAAATAATAAAAGTCCTTTATATTTAAAAAAAAAAAAAATCAAGTCTTAGTCCTTTTATGTATTTAATTGAATTAAACTATATTACTTTCATCTTTCTATTTTGCTTTCCACAAGGTCGATTTCTTTACTTTGGCTTGAGATATTTCCTCTACTTCATGAACATCTCTTTAATGCTTCTCCGTAAACTGAAGTTTCATATATAACCTCACAGAACTATATTCATTTAAAGGGTTTACAATTTACTATAGTGTGAAATCCAAAGTTAATTTCAAATTTAAGGCCGATTTTTAACCCCCAAATTAGTTACACCAGACAAGCTATAATTTGTTTATAAGCAAATATGTATAGTTTAAAAAACATATACCACCGGGGGCGCCACAATCACAAACATGTGAATATATTTACCATGGTATGTTCATGGGTATGCATATAAGGAGATAAAAATAAAAGTATATATAGTGAAGTATTTAATAACAAATAGAATAAAATAATAAAAAATAATTGCACTCACAAATGTAGTTGCACAACAAGAACATATGTCCTAATTGTGCTAAGAAAGCCTGTCAGCCCTTAATTGGGCTAGAGTCCCCTCTTGTAGCAGGATCCCGATTTTCAAAAGTTCCAATGGCCTCCAGTAATAATCTGCTTGAAGGTGGATGAGATCCAAAGATACTAGGGACACTGGCCGACTTGTAGCTGCTCGACGCGTTTCGTCCAATCGACTTTTTCAAGAGCTGTCTTTTTCTATTTCGGGGTGATTAGCCTGCACTGTATTTAGCACTTTTCCCCACTTACTGCTCCTTCCTTATAATTTGTTTATAAAATGTATTGTTTAATGATGATCCTTTCTGGAAAAACAGTTTGGTATCTTTTAAAAAAAATAATAGCAAGAAAAATGTTTGGACACCCCAATGTCATTGTATCCATGACACAGTGGGCAAAGATCATATTCTATGGAACAGAAGACTGTGGCAGGAATTCAATTAAATGCATCATTAATTGTGTTGATGACTGTGTTTGACATGGTAACAACAATAGGTTTTTTCTTACAGGATCACATGGCATGTAGGAGGGTCAGATTGTTAAGTGTTGCACTAAGTGTATTTGACAAGCTGAGTTCGACACTCAGTGTAACAGAGTGTCAGTTTGTCAAATACCCCAAGTGAAGCACTGTCTCCCAGCTGGACTACTTCAACAAAATGGAAGATACCCACAGGCCTTATTTTGCTTATCTGGCTGTATCTAGCAGCTATTACAGTCAATTTCCTGCATTTGGTTTTAGGTGATATGCTGCAATGCTTGTGTAATATTTGCAAAGAAAACAAAAATCTTGGTCACATTTTACTGTGATCATTCTACAGGATGTATCACAACCATATAAGGTAGTATAAGAGTAGTCTATCTTAAATAGCAAAGATGCAAGGATAGACAGACAGAAGGATAGATAGATAGATAGATAGATAGATAGATAGATACCCATTGTACAGCGCTACGGAATTTGCTGGTGCTATATACATAATAAAATAATAATAAGAAGAGATAGATAGACAGACAGATATATTAGAAAAATTGCTATATTAGATGGATTGATAGAGTAGGTAGATAGATAGATAGATAGATAGATAGATAGACAGACTGATTGTTTGATGGAAGAATACAGAAATACCTAAATGAATAAGAGTAGAAATATACATGTATGTTTTATTAAAGCTGATTCAACTATTTAAAGCCTATTATAAATACATCAAAACTAGTTTAATATTTTTATTAGTATTTTTTTTCACTTAAAAACATTGAGATGTTATTTTTTTATTGAAGTGCTGAAATTCACAATCCAATGAACTGTCACTGTTAAATATCTTTGTGAATAAAGCATTAATTTACTTAAACTTTCATGAAATAGTTTTCTGTGTGTTTTACTGTAACAATTTTGGCAATATTGCACTGCTGTAAGCTGTCATTTCTCATTTATTAAGTGCTATGCACAAAACATTTCCTTTATATTTAGTCACTAAACATTAAATAATACCAACTTAAAGGGACTTTCAGGCCCATGCCACCTCCATAGCAACTTAATCTCAGTGAAGTTGTATTGGTGGCTGGAGTCTCTGTACGCCTTCTTACTTTGCAGAAGGTAAGTAAAAAGTTGAAGTTTTGTCCCTTCCACAATGTCTCCTGTCACCACTCTGATCAGGTAAGTTCAACTTGGGCACTGATGATAGGTTGAATGCATCAGCTGATGCTCAGTCTATAACTGGCACACAAACCAAACCCTTCTGATGACTATTTTTAAAGCTGTTTAACACAGAATGAGGGTCCCAGCAGCCCACAGCTCAACCCTTCTTTGTTACTTTGGCGTATATATATATATTGCTGCTTTCTGTAGCATAACTCCTGCCAACTTATCCATGCATCCCCTTTTAACAAAATATCTTGCTGATTGGAAAGAAGCCACAATGGAGCCACCAAGGTGCCATTGGCAATTTTTATTTGTGTGTGATATACTAAATCATTGTGAACACACAAATAGATACAATGTATGCTTGATATGCTTACATTTTGGGATTGATTTATCATATGTAAGAGGTATTTATATCATGTGCATGAAACACAGGTTGCATAGCAAAGCTTCGGGCAGACAGAATGTGCCATGCGGGGTTTGATAGTAGCGGGATAAAATCAGACTTATTAAGCCAATCAGATTTAGATATGGGGACTTGTGTTTGCTGCTATGGTATGCCAAATGGCATATTGATACTGCAAGCTGCTTTGAAATGTAGACTAGTATTTTGTGCCCAGAATTTAAATACTCTGTATTTTATGCATCCATTTAAAGAGGCACCACTCTGTGACAGAGCTGACAATTCAACCTACAACAGGGTCTTTCTTAAAATGGCACACTCATAACATTTCATGACGGACGACAGGCAACCCAAGGTCATTCTGAAGCCTGTATAGATTCTTTAGTACAAATGGTGCTACATTTCCCTACAAAGAATAGGCATAATTTCAGCAGATTGAGTTCTTCACTAGCAACACTTAAAGAAATACCCCAAGCAGCATAACCACTACAGCGCAATTGGAGGGCTTAGCATATGGCTAAGATAGATCTGCCAATGCTTTCAGTTGATTAATAATCCTGCACTGCAGGGCTAAGTTTAGGTGAATGAAAAGATTGCCTAAGCATGAGATTCTAGATAACATTTTTACTTTTTTCCGATATGGATGCTGGGGGATACTTACCTCTGTATTGCCAGGAAATACCACCTTAAATTTAAATTTACAAGAGCCAGATGTTTCAGTTAATGACTGAAGCCAAGCAACTCTGGAGTTTAATGCAGCAGATTTCAGAGATGCTAGTACAGTTGTTATGAAAATTATTCAACCTCCATTGAAAAGAATCAGGTGTATTGTCATAATTTATAGACTTTCAGCTGTTTGAAATCAACAAATCAAACAAAAGCAATTGAAGTAGTGCAATACAACAAATGATTCAAATGGTTTCCACAAATTTAACTGAAATTACAACTAATGATTTCTACAGTCTCAAAATTATTCAACCCCTTCATGGCAAGCATTTGCACTACTTAGAGAAGCACCCTTTTGCTGCAATGACCTGCTGCCAATGAGAATTTCTGGCATGGAAACCTTCTGCATTTAGTATGCACCTTCTCACTGAAACCTCGGTGCCTGTTACAACCAAGTCTTGCTGTAGGTCTTTTGCAGTCACTTGAGGGTGTTTCACAACCTGACTTCTCAGAACTTGCAGACATTGAGAGTTTCCCTTTTCTGCCCCGTCCAGGTAGTATAACCACTGTTCCTCCAACTTTGAACTTGCAAACGACGCAATGGTATCTTTAGGAACATTCAGTGCCTTCACTAACGTTTTGTATCCTGTTCCTTGTTTGTGAAGGGTGATGATAATGTTGAGAATGGAGAAGTCATGATAAGTTGCATTTTCAGGTGAATTTAGGAAAACTACTTGAAGCATTTGTTGTGTTGAGCTATTGCTTTTGTTTAATTTGATCATTGTAAACAGCTGAAAGTCTGTAAATTTGCAATCTGATTTTCAATGGGGGTTGAATAATTTTGATTACAATTGTCTATACTCTCACTGCTATAGAGGTAAAAGTCCTCTCTAAAGGCCTTAACCTTTGTGTTTCAGATAAAATTCATCCTTTGGACATTGATATGGATTTGTTAAAGTTATTCAGAATTATTAGGGGAAAAGCTTTATTTCAGAGTCCTGGTGAAGGCAGTGTGCAGGATACAGTTACCTCTGTCTTAAGTTTACATAATTATGGTTTCTCTAACAAATCTACCTTTTTACCTGGTATTAGAGATAATGATATATAAATTGTATTAATCTGGTAGAGAAAGAACTGGAAATGTATTTGGATAAACCAATATTCTCAACTCCAAATTTGTATGTGTACATGCATAAAGAAACAGGTGTAGGTGCTCACAATAATCAGTCAATAAGAATGGGCTGCAGTAGACCATGAAGAATTCCCAAATGTTGCGAAGTGTGCAAATTGTGAAAAAAACAGGAATGATCTACCATTCCAAAACAACCACACAGCTATTTTTTTAGCTGCTAAGAGCTTGGATGGTACAATCCCTATCTCAGGATATGTGAAGATGTGCTCAGAAGTGTATCTAATAGTGCTCCAACGGAAAAAACAGAGATACTTCATTCCAATCCAAATCTGTATATACTGTTTTGTGTTTTAAGGTCCTGTGCGATTTGGAATTGCCAATTTTTGACTGTTAATGAGTGTATGTATATACCACTACACACAAATGCAATCCTGCATTTAAATGTCAACACTACATACAAACACATCCATGCTGTGAAACATCAACATTCCATACAAACACATCTTGGTATTAAACAGCAAAATAATATATATAGACACACCCCTGCACTCAAAAACCAACACTACACATACAAGGACTCACACGATTGGAGGACGACTTTTTCGGCGGGCTTTTGAACGCTCAAAACAGAGGACACCCAGAGGAAACCCACAAGCTGACTGAGGAAGCCGTTTTTACCGACGAAACGCGTTTTGGCTTTTAAAGTGGACTCATCATTTTTCCTAAACCACTAAATACTTGCAATACTTTGTTCTTATTCATTTTTTATTTTCTAGAAATTTTTATATTGATTCTATATACTCTGTAATAAATTTTCTTCATTTTAAACAATCCACTGTATCCAGTACCAGTGATTCCAGGGAAGGGGCAGTGTCACCCCACAAATTGACACTAGGCCTATATACTTAGAGCCAGTTACCAAAAGGCTCTAAATAAGGTGAGCACTTTAATTTATTATTTAAGTGTATGAAAATATTACAAAGGATGCTACACTTAGTTGGATAATTCTGTGTCTTTTATATACGTTGGGGAGAGGAAAATACACACTTAACCTGGAGAGAGGGGTCGTGTGATCTACCCTTAAAGACACAGACGCACGGAAGTTTAGAGCCTAATTCACTTGAAAAGGCTCTAAAAAATGTGAGTGTAGATATATCTGTTACTCACTAAACTCTTTACCAAAGTATTAGATATACTGCACAATTATCTGTATATATTTTTGTTTTCTTTTATATGTATATTACATTGGAGAATATCAAGGATAATTGTCTTAGAATCACAGGTAATTCACTGTGTTTCCACATATTATACAGCGCTGCACTCTTAAAGATAGAAGACCTAAGGGGTGGTAACACCCATTAAGTCTGAAATCTTTTTTGTCTCTTGGTGTTTATCTTTGTATGGTGGGTTTTTAGGAGTACCCATAGAGTGTATACAGCAGCTATACTACACTGTTCATATTTACCACTCAGCGCCACATATTCCACACCTATTGTTAATATATTTAACACATACATTTACGCCTGCATTCAAATGCCAATACTACATACAAACACACCCCTACCTTTACACAAACATACTCCATACCAGTGGCGGATCCGGGGGCAACGGGGCAATTGCGAGATTCTCCCCTGCCGGATAATGCAGGGCTGGCAGTGTCCAAGTGCCAGCCCTGCAATGTGCCTGCGGACCGGGGAGGGAGATCAGTGATCTGGCAGTCGGCAGGGGAGGGAGGACCTGGGAGCTCTTACCTGCAGCTCCTCCGGGTCCTCCTCTCGCGAGCACGGAGCGTTGCCGCGGTTACCACGGCAACGCTACAAATCTCGCGAGGGTGAACTCTAGCCCTGGAGCGCGGGCTAGAGTTCACTTCAACACCACCAGACCACCAGGGATCCAGAAATGTCCCCCCTCCTCCCAGTAAAGGTAAGAAGGGAGGGGGGACATAAAGAATATTTATTTTATTAAATAAAAAATGTTTTTAAAAGCCTCCCTAACCTTCTTCCCCCCATACAAACACTGCCTCCCATACACACACTACACACTATGCCCCACACACACTGCCCCCATACACACACTGCCCCACAAACACTGACCCTATACAGACACTGCCCCACAAACACTGCCTCCATACACATACTACACACACTGCCCCACAAACACTGCCCCCCATATACACACTGCCCCACAAACACTGCCCCCATACACACACTGTCCCACAAACACTTCCCCCATTCACTGCCCCACAAACACTGCCACCCATACACAGACTACACACACTGCCCCACAAACACTGCCCCCCATACACACACTGCACACACTGCCCCACAAACACTGCCCCCATACACACACTACACACACTGCCCCCATACACACTGCACACTCTGCCCCACAAACACTTACATACACACACTGCCCCACAAACACTGCCCCATACACACACTACACACACTGCCCCACAAACACTGACCCT